CAGACAACCCCGTAACAATATGCGTTTTGTACTGCTGTTACACAGCACAAAACGCATAATAAAACCCCAAAACCGATGTCTTGCATTGCATACGAAAAAACGAACCGGTCCCTTCCGTTTGTGCAGTAACCGGGCGTGACCACTGCGTTTCACCGGACGGATTTGCAGCTTGTACTTCGAATGTCCACTGCGTAAACGGTTCGGAGTCGAAAATAACATGATCCTCACCACGTGTTAAATTCCTAAAGCCCTGATTTTGAGGTGTGCTATATTTCACGACATACCACAATCGGTCGCAATTCCATTCTGATTCGTGCAGTGTCTGAAGAAATTTGCATAATAATGTGGAGCACCCTGAAGGAAAAGCGTAGTTAAGCTTGTTCTGCATAATGAGTAGGGGATGTACCAGTGCGTAACCACAAACGTGACTACAGAAAAATTAAACGGTTTTTTGCCTTGCCCTTCCTGAAGAAATTAAAATTTAAATCCTAAAAATGATGTAAAACAAAATTCCATCAAATCAGCAGAGTTTGCGAAATTATTTGTCTATGATCTGAAATATTAAAGAAGCAAGCATAAATCCGTTCGCTCTAAAAATTTTAGAATGTTGGTCTCCTAGTTACTGTAATCACACTATTCACCATGAAGATAAATCGTAACTTCATAATTTCACGTGCCCTTGTGGATGCACAAGGCCGATCGGATGGGCAACTGACTGCGCCCAGTTCTTGCCTTTTGGCTGCAGGTGGTTGGCCGTCTGGAGATGGGCAAGCGCTTACATCTTAGGCGCGCCTAATGGCTACAAGGGAAAGTTTCTGTACTGTTCCCGTTGAATATTATTTGGCCTACTCAAACAGATTTTACAATATTTCTTTTCGCCCTCCAATTCGCTTCCTGGTACCTTGCTTTATGGGCGTAACTGCGAATGCTGCGACATGTTCTCTTGCACACTTATTCATGCATTCACTTTTGGTAAATGCTTTGCCGCATTATACTTTGCGCCCCGTAGCGCTCTTACTTGTTCAGCTTGTGGCGTCGTATACTACATTACTTGCAAGCGGTGTGGACTATAATACGGCGATCAGGTCAAACGTAGCTTGCGGGTTAGAGTGCGAGAGCATAAGCGCAATGTTGCTAATGTGCTTTCAACAATGTGCTGTATGCGCATTTCTGCAGTCACGGACACTTGGCTTCTGGTGTGTCCCTACAGATTCTTGAACTTGTGGATGACGAGCTTAAGTTGACAGATGCAGAATTCTTCTGGATATGTTTGCTTCACGGCCTTAAGGACTACTTTAAAAGTTTCCACGTGATTACTCAGGATGTGGCTTAAAGCAACAAGATTATCCCCTATTTGGGCTCATATTGGCTGTGCTTTGATCCTTTCCGGCACGCAGGAGGAAGGGCGTCAGTTGGGGTGAAGGTGATGCATTATAGAGCCGCACGGACATCCAGGTGCATGATTACCGTTTTTTTGCATGAAGTCCGGTCGTTTTTTCGGTAAATGCCTCTCTCTGTGGTAAAAAATGACAAATGTAAACTTTTCGAAAAAATGCAAATTTCACTAAAAAGTGGAGGTACTGCTCGAGCGACCGTTTGTCAAAAAATCCATGTGTGCATATTAACTAATGTTCATTTACACATACGATTGCAGTTTGGGTCCGGGTTGTGATGGATTTCTTAACGATTTTTGGGCTGAGGAGCTGCTT